TATCTGTTCAAATTTGCTAAAAGCTGGCTATTGAAATGCATATGCAAACACTTTGCTGGTCTATGCAGTTAACAGAAAGGTGAGATGAGATAAGCTACTGTTTTTCATTCAGCTCTCAAATCTATTTAAGAGTATTCTATAAGAATTTGATTCTAGACAACTACTTCTTGCTTTAACAGTTTGTTATGTCTAACTTCTGTATGCCTAAAGCTGTCGAGTCATATGCAGATTTTAGCAACTTGCAACATACAGCATAAACCTATTTCCAAGCTCACGTTATTCAGGAGGTAAATTAAAGTCTCTCCTCTATTGTTTAGGCTGCATATTCCAGAAAATGTGGGCCCACATGCATTTATTAAACACCACCATAATAGCCAACTGTTAGGCTTAGGGTAATTTTTTTAGGTCTTTATGTTCTGCAAAGTGAAAATCGATGAGCTGTTGACCCTTACTTCTGCCAGCACCCAGTAAAATATATATGAAGCCCATGTCAGCATATGGTTCTGCAGAACTACCTGGTCACCAGCAACAGGCAGTGTAGCACAGATGTCATAAGGAACATCACATGAAACCAGTTGCCAGGGAACAGCCTATGTCATTTCAGTTAATTTTTATGCTTTTCTAATTGGAGTCAAGAAGCCAGCTTCATTAGTGTTAATTTGGTTTCAGTTAAGCTTCAGAGGACCGAATTTTGAAACTGAGACTAAACAGGAACTAGATGAATGCTGATAAAACAATGCTTTCTGGACTACCATCAGATAGGCTTGAGATTAAACTGAATTAGCCCTGTTAACTTATTCACATGCTATCACATTCAGCTTATTGAAAGCCAAAAAAATATGTATTACATGGCTACCTGCTACTGATCATGTAGATCTTCAGGATCATGTATACACATAGATCCAATATATATCACATCAGATGCTTAGGGAGATAAAGAGTTGACAACATGTGTAATTCCAATTGATAGAACATCATAATAAAGACAGTATGAGAAGAAATTCATAAATAGGATTTGGCCTTTGCCAAGAAGTACTTGTTCAGATTGACAATGAAATTTGAAAAAAAAAACAATTAGGGATTAGTGAAAACATGGGTAAGTCAAGTAATGCATGGTAAGATTAGTCTAAATGAATACATCAGAACATGATCATTTTAAGAATTCTCTATCGTGTATGTGGGTAACCAGTACTTTTAGTTTATCATGGAGATCATGGAGGTTCAATACACGTGGTCTAACCTGTAGTTTATCTTCAGTCTAGAGATCTCCCATGAACTAGAGATGAAGTGCAAGACAGGAAAAATAGCTAGAGTGAAATGTCAAAACCCTGAATGACACGAAATCAATGGATGTATATGCTTACTCCTCTCTCAAAAGTCACCAAGACAACCAGTGACTTCTATCTTCATAGCAGTGTCACTTTCAATATAGATCGCACTTGCAGCCAGCAAAAACAAAATTAGACAGCTCATGCATATTTATGTTACAGAACATCATTCCCTTTATGAAGAATTTCATGTACAGGAATTGGAATACTTTCCTAATTGACTCATTGAGGTTTACTAAGCATAGTACAGTGGTCTTTGACTACATTAAAATGAAAATATACATGGAAACACTTGCCTCGTTGTATTTCGAAGTGAAACCCCCTAAGTTTGGACAAAGATTACATATATAATACTTTTAAACTCTTCCGTACTTTCACTTCATCTCCATTTAACAGGTATGCAACATATTGGTCTGAAACTCTACCGCTTATCAATCTTGATATACAGGACACATGTCAACTAAGTCAACTGAAAATGGACTTACTCCAAGCTGAAGTTGAGCCTATAAACGTACTGAACGATACGAAATCACTGTATAATTATCGTAAACCTACATCTCTCTTACCTTCAAAAAGCTTTTAAGTTTACGTTAAAAGTTTACGTTTGTTTGGCTCATCTTCAAATGACAAAGTCGAAACTACGTGACTCTACTTTAGCAACATATGCGAGAGGGAGTCACAAAACGGAGGCGGGAGGGCTGCTGCATTCTGAATGTGACAGGAGAGCGGTCACATTCTGACTGAGACACCAAGTCGACAGCTCGGTTATGGTCTGACTAACTCCTGCGACGTTCAACGGAACGCGCCATGATTGGGCTGCTGTTTCTCACTCTCGGCAGATGGCGCACTCTGTTGAGCCCTCAACCCATTAAAAAAAAAGTGCCGGCTGTCCCCACTGAGACGCTGACAGAGAAGCCCAATACATCATAATATTTTTAGATCTTGGTGTGATCATAAAAGACGCCAAACCCTCATCTTGAGTGTAGGAAGCTTTTTCACCATGGACCGCTCATTTAACTGGATACGCGATAACTAATCCTTTAATTGAACGAGACCGAAAGTTTAGACAGCTGTCACTCAACGCACGAGGCCTACGATGCTATGCCGTTCCAGGCCATAGGCCAGGCCATCCACGGCTTAAAGCGCCATGCCTACAAGGCTCTGCCATTCTGGGCTATAGGTTCGGCCATTAAAACGTTGTAATTACATGTATTGACGGCCAGCGTAGCGGCCTCAGGCCGCTAGTTTATTCTAATTAGAAGCTGCGTCTTTAGCTGCTGCACAACGAAATGGCTGTGTTGCTAGAAATCGTTATGCTGTGGCTCTCAATCCTTTTTATACCACGATCCTCCGAGTCCGATTTCCGTAAATATGTGACACAAGTTCAGGAACGGTCACCGGGAACTAGTGGGAGTCCAACGACTGACTCATACTTGAAGGAATGAGATAGTGGAGGAAATGATAGCGGATTCACAGGGAGAAGCATATGAGGGCTGTTCTGAAAGTTCTTAGTCATGTCATATATAATGGTACAATTGAAATATTTGTATCAATATAATCAGGCGAAAGAACAATCCATTCCCGAACGTTTCCGAAGATAGCCGAAGTTTTATCATCGGTCTATAAAAGCGGCTGACGCGATTGAAATTCATCACTTGCGGCTTGCGAGGAATTCTGCTTCACCACGACAACGCACCGGCGCACAGTGCCGCTGAGACGTTGGACTTTTTACACCAATCTGGTGTCCAACTTTTTGAGCCATCCATCTTACAGTCCGGACCTGGCCCCTTGCGACTTTTTTATTTCCTACAATAAAAAACACAATGCGGGGAAGGACGTTTTTGCGTGCAGATGCAATCGTCGCAGAATTCACGAGCCTGTTTGAGGACATGCCAAAAGAAGCATTCAACTTGTTTTGACTAATGGTTTCAAAGAATGAATAAGTGTATTAGTGTTGGGGGAGACTACTTTGGAAAACAATAAATAGAATTCAATAAAATTATTGACCTTTTTTCTTTAACTAAAAACTTCCAGAACAGCCCTCGTATATAAAAAAAAAAATAATATAAAAACATATATATTCTCCAACGCTTTCCGCTCCATTTTCCATGGTTTCATACTTTACCCCACCCTACTCTCCCATTTCTTGACCAATTGACATAAGTGAATCTTGATAGGTTATCATAGTACCTTTCAATGGTAGGGAACATTTTGTTCTATATCCCACTTGAGGTCATTTGGTCCGGCAACATTTGTCCGGACACTTACGTGACAGCAAGAAAAGAGCATCTTGCAGTACAATAAATAAAAATTGTGATTGGTGGTGCATGATACAAAATTTTGCAGTCTAGATGGCCCTGTCAGACTTTTTTTATTTACAAGAAAACCGGCTACTAAGTATGCATTGGACAAAGTTCATCTGAGGAGGATGCATACTCATCAATTGCCAGATGGAAGCAAATTCATAGCACATTAAATAAGCCCGTCGATCTTGGTATCCCTAAAATTTGTTTTGATAACCTCTCACATCGACAAATCTCTCGATTTCAACAGAGAGAGTGCTAACTCTTTTGAAAGATGCAAAAAGTTTTGAACAAATGGCCTCGAGATAGAACTTGTAAAGCAGTTTCAGTGTCTCTTGATATGACAGTCGGTTGGCTGCATGGTGCCTTGTGAAATCGCTATGGTTGGTACATACGACACCGACACAAGCAAAGAGAATGTGTAAACTCAGCCGTGTCTCGTTCAGGAGCTTGGGGTCCGGCAATAAATTCATGCAAAAACAGGGAAAACAACCTAGAATTACCGTGAGGAAGTGGTGAAGGGATTGGGAAGGCTTCAGGGCAAAAAGAAAAGAACAAATGAATAAGATTTCCATGAGACAAAATTTTCAGACCTCTAGTTCATCCGTTTTTCCTGTTATTGTCAATAACGTTGCATTTCCTATCAGTTCCTTCTCTTTTGATTACCGTGTTTTATTATTTTGTACATCTGTCATGTGTTTCATAGCTTCATTTTTCCTTTGAGAAATTAAGCCGTTCTCTTTTCTGGTGATGTTTCATTTGAACAGGCGCCATTTCTCGATGTGGCGTGCATTTTATGAAAGGGAAGCCTGAATTTCTGTCTAAGAGAAACAAAAGATTTTCATTTCGCGAAAGATGTCATTTTGCTCGCATACTCATACTCTCACGTGAGAATTCGGATAGGAAGTGCACGTTGTCGGCAATTTTGCATGGAACGAATGCGACTGACGAATGCATTCTCGAGTTCCAGGTTGAGTGCACGAAGTGGTGGTGTACAAAAATGCGCCGAATGGCGATGAAGGACGTTCTCGACTCAATTGTCGTGATAAGCATCAGGCCTAGATTTGGCTCCCAATCACGAAACGAATGGATAGTTGCTACCCATCCATATTCGTCGACGACGTCATCTCATTCATTGGTACCCAATAGGTATCGATACCCAATGGACGAAGGGAGATTACAGCAGCCTCATTATTAAGGGATTTCTGCATAGAAAGGGGGAGTGGAGAGATACCATATCCACTATCTCCCTCTCCCTCTTTCCCCAATGGAAACTTCCCCCCGCTATCAGCCATGTGGAACGTGCGACCGCATCGGCTGCACGGTCGAGAAAGGTAAACTGTATAGCATCAACTGCACCGTGTTCAGGGTTGCCCGAACATCCGCCACTCTAAGTCGTGACTCACGTTTGGATTTTCGAGAGGCAAAAAAAAGAGAGGAAGGCTCGCTGCCGTCAAGGATAGGAGCAAGGATAGGTTAGGAGGGAATCTGACGTCGATAAGCAAGGGGAGGTGACGTGGTAATCCGGTTTCGAGTGTATGGGAGATTTCTGAAGGAAATTCTTATCGGCAGACTGTAGTGTAGAGCCTGAAAAGGTGTCAGCTGGGGGGGGAGCCTTGCCCTTGCAATTGCAGTGCAGCTTGGCCGTGTGCAGTGAAGCGGGAATCCGCCGCAGGTACAACAGTAGGTCCCCCTCTTGCCTAGCCCAGCAGGCATTGCTTGGCTTCTTTTTGTTTTCCGCGTCACAGTGCCTCGTCACCGGCCTGCAGAACAGCTCTGCATCTTCAGCCAGACAGGTAAATATAATACGAATTCTGCTCTCTTTCATCAATCCTCTGAATTGGGTTTCTCAGGATAGTACTGTGGAGATAAGCCCCAGTTGTGACTCTCGTTGACATGGGAGAAAGTCCCATGCCAAACTAAAAGTAAATCCATGAACACAGTCTGTTCCATGTAGTTTTTCTCGTTCTCGTATGTGTTACTATCTGCAACTATTGACTTTCGAAGGTGCAGGGGCGCCAATCGTTTTAAAAGAGGTTGTGAAGTACAAGAAGACGTAAACCCGGCAAAGAAAACGTATCTTAGGTGATTATGAAGGTGCTTGAGATCTTCAAAGTGAGCATGAACATAAGAAGAATTGGACGCCTTAGAGTTAAAGTTGACCAGCCCGTAAACATTGAATTCAGGTAAAATTATTGATGGAAGGGAGTGTGCGTCATGGTGCCTACCAATCCTAGATATGAGAGTTGTATGGATCTGTTTGATAGTGTGGGCTTCTTTATTCTGGATCATCTGACTCAATGTTGATTTTCGCGATATACTACAAAGGGTCTGTGAATTTTCACGCGAGACTTTGGCCAATTTCAGCTCTAAGGTGTCAAATTAAGGCTTGACCAGTAAAAAAAAACCGCGTTAATGCTTATGACAAATGGCAGTTTCTGAACGCACACAGTCCAAGTTACAGATGCCAGAGCCGATGCAGTAATCAACTGGGCTTAATTCCTTGACAGCATGCCACTAATTATTATTTTTTTTAATGGCAAGTCCTGCACATACTCCCTATGAATCTGTCTGGTTGCGAATCCCCACAAGTGTGAGACGAATTGGGCATTACTCCTTCCCCTACCTCTTGTTTTCATTAATATTATACTTTAGCAAAATGAATCAATGGCTCCATTATCAGACTTTAGATGTCACCAAAATTTCCTTGGAAAATTACTGGATCTGTAGGATTCTTTTCGGATTCCCGGGAGAAGCCCTTGCAGCGCTTTCCTTGCAGTTGCTGATCTTAGTGCAGATATAACCTTGAAAATGCCGAAAAGTGTGAACGAAGAGCGCTAACTGACCTAAGAAGTTATGATCTGGTGAACTCGGGTGAATAACGCGACATTAACCTCCTCACCCCGACGCGCCTTGAGGAAGGTGCGCTCGGTAAACTTGTGCAACAAGAGCAATTTTGTGAAGAGATTTTCCCCGTTGCTGAGCTGTTCAGCGCTTCTTATAGCTGAAATCCCGCTGATTTCGCTAGTATTTTTAATACTGTATTTCGTTCCGACCCGTAGTTCAGGAACCATGAATTTTTAAATTAAATGTTCATTTTGTTTTAACCCGCAATCCTCATTGCTCTACGTGATTTGTGCTGCCAAAATTTTGCAGAAGAGAGCAACTTTTTGTATTTTGCACTATTGAGGATAACCGTTAATTTACAGGGGTCATGTGCACCTATATTATTACTAGTCTTCGGCCGGGTTGTCTGATTTTTCTAGTTACATGTCCCTCGCTTTCATGGTGCTCGTTACAAGACTTCGTCAGTGTGCTGAACGTGTAGACGTTTTTCCAATAAATTTACACCTATAAAAAAAATTAATAACTTTGGTTAGTTATCTTTTTAGGTTACTACCTAAGGTATTGAAATATACATCATGTTGTAGGAAATTTCACGAGCTAAATTTAGACCGCTAGCATGTTCATTTTTTTGTGCCAGAAATGACGACAGAGAAGCATTCCAGTGCAGTGGCCAGCGCCACAGCGAGTCTGAAAAAAGTCAGAGCAGAAGGGGTTAAGACGATGTGAGGTCCGAAGATGGCACAGTATGCTTTTGAATAGCTTATGCATTGGCAGGCTATTATTATGATAGACCCCGAAGCCTTGTTTTCTCCCTTTTAGGGGAGCCGTGCCACATTTTATTGCACCGGTTTTCTACTTCCTATATTTATTCAATGAACTTTAGACCTCGTGTAGGGGTAGTATTACTACCATATGGGGTTTTTATTTGACCATACTTTCCGGTTGAGCTAAGTGACCATTTTTCAGTGTTTTACATCAGTCATAACCTATATAGATATAGATTTATATTCAGTGGTATGCCACATGGTCTGCCTACCGCCAGTATAACGGTTTGAGAACAAGACTGGCAAAGAAAAATATTTTCCGGCTTCCCGCACGTACGGTTTGATCGCTGCTAGAATGATCCCCTCAGGATTTCAAGCACCTAATTGCTTCTTTTTTTTCTTGCTAAGACCTGTTACTTCTCAATTACGAAATACTGTACATGCATATGGGAATATCGATTCCAAGTTGCCTCTGCTTCCGTGAACAAACCGTACACGGTTACATTCCATATCCTCAATATCGGTTCGCAATATCAGTATTTCCCTTCTCTTCACTGGACTAAGCCGACCCTCGCCTGATACGATGGTCCTTATCATGGAAAGTAGGCCTAGACATGATAGAGAAAGTGTGCTTTTCATGACGTCACCGGTGACATTGGCTGTGTAAAGGAAAAAGAATCGGTGAGTTCAACAGACAAATATGTGGGAATTCAGAGGGGGAGAGAAATCTCGTACGTGTGAATAACCGGGAATCAGTGAACCGAGTCCGGGGGCATCCCTGCTTTCTGTGGCAACCCTGGATCCGCGGACTAGCGCTACAGTCCCCCTCTGAATCGTCTCTCTTTACAACCCTTTTCTTCCCTCATGGCTGCTTCTTCGCTCGGAGACTGCGTTGCTGCCCCGACTGTATGGTCTTGAAGCCTTGCGTACAAAGCAAAACAGTAAGAATTCCGTAAGATCCCATCCCCGCAAACAAGGAAACACGTGGGCTCAAGAAATTCTTTGAGCACTTTAGTTACGTGGGGATATTTTCACTCGTCATGTCGAAGCTGCGGATAAGGCGCTATTTCATGAGGCAATTAAGAAGGCCCAAGAAAAAGCTCCCGAAAAGTTTTTTTTTTTCCTGCAAGATGATACGCTCCCCGTGAGTATGTGCACTTCTTCCAGCGGATGTACAGTTGTTGCGTGCGCAATACGTCTGCAGTTCACCCTTTGCAAGGGTCCGCAGGGTGAACGGCGTGACAGAAAGTCGTCAAAAGTGGTAACAGGAAAATGCGCCTGCGCGTGCGTCATCGTTGAGTCCAAGTGTCCCAAATAAATAAATAATTGATCGTTTGAAATCACGTACATCTAAATAATTAGCCTTATATTTGCTGCGTCATTCTGTTTCCTCGAATGTGTGAACTCTTCGACTGGTCAAGACAAGGAGATAAGGCATGGTTTTTTTGGCATGACGCACAACTTGAGGTGAGACTTAGGCGCAATCATATCCGGACGTACATAAAGAGACCCTGCGAAACTAGAGCTCTCTATGGAAGGAAAAATTGCCTCACCGATGGAATTCTTTACGACACTCTGCCTACGTACAAAATGATCCATAATTGACATTCCGAGCATAATTTGCGCTCCAGTAGTTAATTTTTGCCGAATCTTAAAAAATATCTCAGCTTATATTAAATTAAATCTGATCATATAGTCGAAAATGTTAGACATAACGTCTGCCCTTGTTCTAGAATGATGCAATGAGACTATGGTCGTAGGGAAACTGCTTTATTCCAAGATATTTTCAATTTCATAAACCGTAGATATCACTTTAACGTCATTGGTCATGGTGACTACAATTGAAACATACATCGTGTTTATGCTTATTTCAATATGCCAAAAAAATCATAAAGCAGGCAATCATTACGTCCCCAATCGCACTCCGACTCATAACATTAGTTTTTAATTATAAATAATTGGTGAGCATGTCGGAGTATCTGAGTGATACGAGAAAAAGTTTTCGAGGTTTTGCGTGACAAGTAATCAAGCCTCACATATGAAGGAACTGTGCAATTTTTTAAATTAATATTCGTCGCCACCTTACCTCTGGGTACGAAGGGGTTTAATGCCTGTCCTTGCGAGGTTCCTCAATATGATGCCCTGGGTGCCCCAGAAGAAAGAACCCATCAATAACTCTTTATTCATCCTTCAAGACGGGAGTTGAATGAAAGTCATGTTGATTACGGGACAGGTCCAATGAACACTAGGCAATCCTTAGCAGTGAATCCAATAATTCCATTCGGATTGACTCCGATGAAAGGTCTCCCTTTTCTTGGGACACCCCGTAGTGTGGCATAATGACTGTGCTCCATTCTTCCCACGCGATCTTCCTCTCTTTCTCGCTCTCTTCTCTCTCTCACTCTCTCACGTGCATCGCGGATGTGCCCGTTATGCATGGCTGGCTTGGGTCTTTAGAATCCTCTGCGGTTCTCTTCCGTACCCTTTTCATCCGCTGGTGTAATCGTACATTCACGCATTCACTCACTGCATCCAGTGCGAAAGATCCCTACATATTACCCGCCTCTCCCCCCTTGTTTACTATGCCTCCTGATGCTATGCATTTATTACTGACAGCATTTCTCTAAATTCTTTCATTTCCTACATACATGTGAGATTTCCTGAGCATGAGTATCTTGTATTCATATTTTCAATCGTGTAATTTTTATTTTTTTTATTTTGAGAATTGCGACTCTCACTCATCGAGGAGGCAATTCCTTTATTCCGACTAGTATGATAAGTTCAAACTGGCACCGCATTATGTACAGTTCGGCTATCGGGTTCTCGAAAGAGAGCAGGACTCTACCGATTATTCATGAGAGAGTCAAGGGCTCTACCATTTTTCCTGAGGTTGTGGGGCTCTATAGATCTGAATCGTAGCGATAGGGGAGCGTGAGAGGGCAATTCCCCTTTTGCTTTTTATTCTCACGTGGTAGACTGTACTGTTGCAAGAGGCAGTACAACCCCAAGTATCTGGTATGTGATCAGGATCGTATTCACTTCTTGAAGCTGTGATCTCTAGAAGCTCCGCCCTTGTAAAAAGAAAAAAAAAGAGAGAAAAAGGGTTCCGCCCTTGAAGATGAAGAGAGAGAGAGAGCTGTTTTTCCCTCCATTGTGTTCCGTGCTTCTCTATATATTATTTCAAGTGCATCCCTCTATAGGTGTAATTTACGTGACACAATTTGTGCCGGTCGTGCTCTCCCCGTTCCTCCTCATGGGTCATCTTCCTCGGGCAATATTTCCCTCTCCGTTCCTTAGTCCTGTTCAGTTCCTGTAAATGAACTGACAGGTGTTGAATGTGGCGAGTGTCGTCCCAAATTCCTCAGGCGATTCTTGAGTGGAATGTGCAGTTCACAGGGATTCGGGCTCGTTGAACTACATCATATTACATGGATTTCAAGGAGAGCAAGGCAGGGCAATTTTTATTGAGAGCTTATAATAGGGTCTTGACTTATTACGTTGTGGGAACACATGCGCAAGACAAGTGCCACAGCCAAGATTTTCCATCACATTAATTTTCATGGTTTTGAGGGAAAGGCAGTCTTAATTTGAGCAGGAGCTTTCTGGAGCTCAACTCTGGTACCTCGGAATAATATCAGAATTCAGCTCCTGACGTCTTGCAGATTATTATTTAGCACTTCATGGTTTCAAAATACTTGATAAGAAACTGACAGTGTTGCATGCGCCTGAAAATCGAGATTTTTGTCAAATATTGCAAGCAAAAAATATTGAGAGGAACTCGCCCTCGGGCGTACAGAGCCACCATTTACGTTCGGTTTACGAACGGTAAGCTCCGGTACTTGCCGAAAAATTAAGCCCTGGAGATGGGAATGAAACCTTCCCCCTCCCCAATCACCAGTGCAGCTAGATGGTGAAAATCGCTGAGCAATCACTCTTCAGAGAACAAAGAATGTGGATTGACCCAAGAACTGACACTACAGGAAGAACTGAGTTGCGCGCATTTATAAAGCTTATACGACAATCCATGTCAGACATCAAATTATTAGCCACAGAGACCTTCAAGCATGCTTGAGACCTCGGCTAGGTACTTGGGAGTAGAAAAGACGTGGTGTCCGGCGCGACAGTGATTTGTAAATGAATTTATACCACCTTTAAAAGGGTTTCATAGGCTTAATGTCACTTCTTTCGTGGGAGTTATCTCCTTGCCTGCATCATAGTGGTAGCACGCCCAACATTCCACCTTTTCGTACCACCTTTTGTTGCTGTTAATTCACTGGGAAATAGCTGTACTGAGCAGTTGAATTCGCGCCGTGGCCAGATTGGAGGAAAGCTGCGATTTTAGTTTTTGAGGCGGTAGGAGAGAAATTGTAAGCGTAAATTATTATTTTGCATGACCAATGAGCAAAATGCGCTACAGAGTTTTGCCCCTGACTTCAGCACTTATGGATGAGGAATGTCCCATGCACGAGTGTCGGAATCAAGTGTAAAATTGTCTAACTCTAGTGGGAAACACTGTATATGCAATGTTTATCAGGAATCTACCTGCAATTGTGTTTTATCCTTGACCCTAGGGAAGCCCCGAAGAATCAAGCAGCACTGTGAGTTCACCACGTGAGCGCCCGCTTCTTCCCCCCCGTGACTCTTGACATTCTTTTTCGTTCTTTTTTCTCAGAACGCCGTATTTAGGACTTTATCGTCAGAGAGAGAATCAGCATGCAAGTTCTGACATAACTAACGTTAAGGGTAGCGTAATCCCCGCCCATAATAAGTGTTTTTCACGTGAGTTCGACAATTTTTCACTCGACAAGAACACGCGCGTGGGACGATCCTCATGCATGAATATTGAAGTCAAGTGATTAACTGTAGCGTGCATCTTGCTCATTGGTCAGGCAAAAAGAAATATTTTTGGCATATGCTATGCAAGAAATCTTGTTTTTCAACGTAATTAGTAAAGGGGATTAAAGGGCGCGAATGGAATTGTGTGTATATGTGCATATGTATCTGCCTACATATATAAAGGACATACATAGGAATGTATATACTTATGGCTGATTTCCATGGTGAGAATTACCTTGCATTTATTCCTCTTTGTCACATCTGGGGACCACCTACCTCTACCATGGTACCATTTTATACCCTGTTTGTTGTATAACCACTTTCTGTCCCAATAAAGAATTATTATTTATTATTATTATATAATAATATTAATCAATAATATTATTCATATTATAGACCTATGATTAGCACTGAGGCTCTCCAAGTGTGGACAGCAAATGCTCTTTGACTTCAGGTGATTAGGCTAAGCCACAGGGCCTTTATTCAGATGCCATGGGTTTGAAAAGAGAGGCCAAAAATGAATTCAGTCTGAAACCTGTCACTCTGGCTGACTTTGGCATCCCAAAGAAGGTGAGTAACATATGGAAAGAAGGCTAATGTTAGACCAGTTTGCTATCTGCCTAAGGCTAAGAAGCTTTTCTTCACCTATATTGGAATATGCCCAATTTTTTTTCAATTGAGTTCAACATTAACAGGTTACTGATACCTGTGTATAATGTGTAGGCCTTGACCTGTGGTACTTCTTTTGTATTAGTGATGAGGCCAGCTGAAAAAATGTGAATCTCATTAGAAAAGAAACATAGCTGCGGCACACCCATTTAGCTTCTATATGGCATGGGCATAGGTCCAGTGAAAGGGGCACATATTTTTTTGTTTTTACCTAGTGGCAGAAACACTCCAGTAGGTATTTTTTTGGTGATAGAGCTCTCCACAAAAGCTCTGTTACCTCTTCCAACCATGGTCAGGAGAGAGTCATGGCATTGTTTGCAAAGAACATTACATGAATGCAAGCACATGCCTGATCACTTTCCTACTCATATCCGTGGTTCACAGAATGTGAAAATAGTGGCTACCATATGCAGGAGATCTCAATTCAACTCCTGATTTGTTTCTTTCCTACTTGCTCTCCTGCTTTCCTACATGTGCTTTTCACCCTGCAGAGAGCACCTACTGGGAGTAAGAAAACATGTCCTGATATGCTTGACATTCTACATCCAAATGCAGTTTTCCATTCTAGTCATGTTTAACATGCCTACTTCAATCAGCTAATCAATTACTTTTAATTGCACTGCCTACTTTAATCAATTTGAAAATGCATGAGGCAAATTGAAATCACAGTTGAGTGGAAAACGATGTTAAACCTAATGGAAGGCATATCTCTGGAATGGAAGGAAAAGTAGGTTTCTTGTTCAGTGGTCTCTTTAGCATTAAATGCCCCTTTGGGTGATGTTTCCAGGAGCCCATTCCAGTGGGCAAAGGATAGGTCTAATTTGTTGGCTTTCCTATTTTTTTTCTTGTTGAAGATTCACTTTTCCACATCTCCCATTCTCATTCATCTCCCAAGTCTTGAAATGAAATGAAAGCTTACAAAATACCACTTGAAATGAAAGCTTACAAAAAAGCAAAAGTGGTTTTTCATATACTTCCGAAATTGAGTCAAGGAATGATTAACCAGGTTTATTGTTTGACTTGTCACATGTTTATTTGTGTGATATCTCACCAGTTTCCTTATTTCCTAAACAGTCAGTCGATCAAGTCATGGAGAGGCAGAAGGTGTGGGTGCCTCAAGTGGAGGAAGGGTTCATCCTGGGTCACATTGTTGACCTTGGGACAGAGGAGGTCACAGTCCAGCCAACAGACAAGCGCTTCAAACCAATCACATGTCCCTTTGACCGGGTCTATCCTGCAGAGGAAGATGAGGGAAAGGATGTAGATGACAATTGTAAGGTTCACTCTCTTTTTCGGATCTGAGAAAAATACATTGGGGAATTGGGAAGAAGTCCTCTGGATCATAAAAATGAATAACATGTCCAATCTCATGAAGAAGGAATGCATATTCAATGTATATAGGATTTGGAAGTTCTTAAAGAAAAGTTTTAGGAGTAAAAGCCATGATAGCTCCATTGAAGTTTCATGTAAATTTCTTTCCAGGTGGATTGATGTACTTGAATGAGGCCACTCTGCTATACAATGTGCGGCTGCGATATAAACGAGACCAGATTTATGTGAGTAGATCCTCCACTCTCAGAATTTAAAAAAATAGTTATCATTATCATAACTTTTTTTGTTGAATGTGATACAAGAGACCATACTTAACAAAAATTTATTATCATAAGCATTCAGCATAAACCTATTTTTTCTTGGTTTATGTTGAAAATGTATTACTTCTATTTTCAAATTATGTTTTTTTTTCTTTGGTCTGCCTTGAATTATGGGGTCTACAAGTTCTACAACATAACCTTTTTCAAGGTGGCCCTTGATTCATGGGATGGCATAATACCTGCAAATGATATACAGGGTGTTCCATTAGTCTGTTTACTGAGGGGTTTTCAGCTATGCTAAATTCTTATTAACTTCATTATTAATTTAAATGTCAGGAATAAATTTTTAAGCATGCATCTTCCTTCACCTAGAATGAAAATAAAAATAAAATAATATGGCAATTAATAACAAAAACAATATCATGCAACATTAATTAAATTAGTCAAAGTGAGAGTAGCTGAAAATCCCTCTGTAAACTAATTCATGGAACACCCTGTAAATCAAATTGAAAATAATTCAATTCTGCATTGATCTGTCTATTTTCATTTCAAATAAAATAGCTTGTCTAATTAGTGAGAAGGAAGAGCAAAGATTTGCTCTCTGTTGATGAATGCATTTCCTGGATCCCTTGCAGTGAATTGAATTCTGTTAGAAAATTTTTGTTCTGAATCATTAATGACTAGATACTTTATCTGAAATAAAGAGAGAATTAGGAATATCAATGCAGAATGAGTAAGCTTCAATTTGCCTTATCATTTGCAAGCACTCTGCCATCCTTTGTTGTAAAGACCACCTTGCAAAGGTCATGTGGTACCTAATAATAGTATGCATGATAATTGTACAATTAAGAACTTTTATGGAAATTTTAATTATATGCTGAAGTTTATTTACTGGATGCAGGGAAAAAACTGCCACTTTTAGAATTTGCATATCAGAAAATCAGTCATTGATACAGTAATGTATCTTCCAGGAAACATACATCTTGCCTTTCATAAAGAATATTTTCTGAAATTTTCTCCTTTTCTAGCCTCAGAAACATTTAAAGTTGTGAGTAAAATTTTTGGAACCTCTGCCCATCATTGGCTTCATGCCAGAAAGTGGCAGCTAGCTAAACATTTCAATAGTGATTTTATTTTTCTTGCATATCTAATTTATAGACCTATGTGGCAAACATCCTGATAGCAGTGAATCCCTACACTGAAGTGAAGGGTTTATATTCATCAGCTGCCATCAAGCAATATCAAGGGAAGTCCCTTGGTGTGCTTCCACCCCATGTCTTTGCAGTTGGTGAGTGATCAAGATTTACTACTTCTTGCCACTGTTCTCCTTGCTTCCATCTTGCCACTTGTTGCTACTTTTTAATGTCATTTTTGGCCATGTCCTTTTATCATTTAGCCGACAAATCATTTCGAGATATGAAGGTGTTGAAACAGTCTCAATCAATCATTGTTTCTGGAGAATCGGGAGCTGGGAAGACAGAATCTACTAAATACATCTTGCGGTACTTGTGTGAGTCATGGGGTCATGCTGCTGGTCCCATTGAAGCAAAAATCCTTGATGGTTAGTTTCATGCTTTGCCCAGTGTTCTGAGTGCCAGAATCTCATCAAAGGTACCATTAACTTAGTGTGAATTACCTGTGTGAATACTTTCACATAGATCTCATTCAGGCAGAAATTAACATTTTATTATTTCAAGCTTAATGTTTAAAGTTGGTGAGAGGATAAGTGCATACAATTTAAAAATAGTGAAAAAGTGAACATGAAATGCCACTATTAGAAATTAGGCCCAGTCAACCTGAATTTTTTTTTCATTTTTCAACTATTATTGTGTGGCACATTGAGATAGTGTTTTATATGAAGCCTATGAAGAGGAATGAACATTCTATATCTTGAATTAGCTTGCTTGTATCTAATTGATCTATGCTTGTTTGTCTATGTGCATTCTTTCAGGTTCTTCAAGTTTTGGTTTCATCATTGAGGCATATTGGTTCTTGTTTTCAGCAAATCCTGTATTGGAATCTTTTGGTAATGCAAAGACAACCCGGAACAACAACTCAAGTCGTTTTGGAAAGTTCATTGAGATCCACTTCAACCAACAGTGCAGTGTAGTTGGGGGTTACATTTCTCATTACCTGCTGGAAAAGTCACGTATATGCTCCCAGAGCAAAGAGGAGCGCAATTATCATATCTTCTATCAACTCTGTGCTGGAGCACCTGATTCCCTTCGACAGCAGTTGAGGCTAGCTGGCCCTGATAATTTCCATGTGAGTGAATATTTGTAGCTCTCCTATAGGTCCATTAGTATTCATCTGCTTGAGTAATATTTATTTTTGCTGAAGCACTCATTCTGTGCTAGTCCCTTTTTGTGAAAGTGGTTTGCTGAAGTTTTGCATTGCACAATCATGATACACCTCAGTTTTACCTTGAAATGAATGACAATTTTACAATGTCTAATTATGATCCAATTATGATCCAATCTAAAATTATGTGCAATTAAATTCAATCTACAATTATGCAATATCCATGTGATTGTTGTATAGTGTTATGTTTTAAAGTTCTATGTCCACAACCACATAATCCCTAAGCTCTCAAGCCTAAAACCTTAGGCTCCCTCAACATTAATGTGAGTTGACCATGGCAAGATGTGTGATGCTTTGGCCTGAGGCTTGAGATCTCTTGGAAAAAAGGTTATTTAAAGATGAAAAGTTCAGTTTGCCCATAGTTCACCTTCACTTGAGTTCATTTTATATTCATCTATACAGTACCTGAAGCAAGGGTGCACACAGTACTTCCTTCAGCCATCGACAGTTAGGACGATGAATGTAAACCGGATCTCACGTGACCAGCAAACCAAAGGACCCCTCAAGGACCCTCTGCTAGATGATGCCAAAGACTTCATTGAAATGGACAAGGTATTATATGTATTTTTTTAATGACATGTCACTCTATGAAACATTAAATTGTTAAGTTTTTATTTGGGATGTTACAGATGAGGAATATTTACCAATATCTGGTAAACCAATGTTCATCAAGAGGTATCTAATACTACTGATACCAATGAACAGATGATACAGCTTTACAAGAAACTGAGATGTGAAATACTCTGACATTGAAATTTAAACTCTGTTTACATGAAAATGATTGCTTTTAGACCAGAAGACCATATAACATATGGAGCTAAAGATTGGGTTTTAAGAAGGAGCCATGCTTCAGACCTGTTGGCTGATGTAACAGAGCCATGTAGCTACCAACTTGGACACAGGCAAATTAGTGGAACTTCCTATACCTCTGTGCAAGTGCTACATTGACATTGTTTAACTCTTGAGTGCATTCTTGACCAATACTTGCTTGAGTCGATATTTCCATTGGGTCTCAGAGATAAGGACGTTGAGCAACTTTTGCTCAACGTAGCATTATTTGAAGTTGACATAAATGGTAGAATTTCCCCTCAAGTTGATGATCTTATGACATTTTCTAGTCAACTTATGGAGTTGTTGTGTCTTTCCTAATCTATGAAGTCTACCTATGACTGGTGGAACAATACATTTTAGGCCCAAGTTATTGTAGCAAACTTTTTTTTATATAGCTGACAGGGTGGGCCAATTGTAGCCCCTCCTCTTACATGCCCCATATGTGGAGGCTGATCAGGTTGCAAATTATTCTGATTTGTCCAGGAGGATCCCTGTTTCCTTTATGGGTATCTCCCAGTAAAACAGGAAAGTTAGGAACCATGGTTGACATTCAGAATTGGATGGAACCCCCAATAAGTCTTGTGTTTCCTCTTTACCTGCAAACACATATTGACATGCATCCACAAGCATGTTTCTTAGTGTTCAAATAAAAATGCATGTGTGCAGGCATGAACATCACATGCAATGTGAAGTTGTACATGCAATTATGCAAAATATGAAATGGCCTGAGGCCAACTCAGAGAAGTGGTGGTAGGAAGATAGGAGGTAGAAAGATGTACATGGTTCTTCAGTGCAGCCCACCTGGGAAAATGGAGATAGAGTATTGCAGCATGTATTTCTGCTTGACCCAAATCGGCATTTGGGCCATCATGATGTTTCCCACAGGAGATGTTCCTGCATGCACATCATACAATGAACTTGTCCATTCTCAAATGGATGCAGCTATCTCACATGTTCTTATAGGGTGTTTCCCATGATGTTCTGTTTCTTTGGGTCTTCTGACCTCCTTCTGCTTCCTGTCAAGCAAACTCTACCATTGTCAGAAGATGTAAAATGTTTGAAAATGGAAGGCTTATAACTTGGCTTTTTATTTTGGTGCATTCTCTGTATTTGCCCCCTATTCTTGTTGGTACAAATATGAAGATGCCCAGTTGTTATGTCACATTTGATTTCAAAACCAAAAACTGACATATAATAGGCCACTTTGGATACCAGTTTTTCAATATATTAGTTACATCAGTTTTCCAATGATACTGATAATGGCAATAATTTTTATTATCTGCCTGATAGATCATCAGTAACACTCCTAGGTTTTATTATCAATTATCTGTCATGACATGGTAAATAACTCCTAGTATTTAGGTAATTTATTACAAGTTTTCAGCACAAATTTTTAAAAATTTTATGCATTTAATTATTTGCTCAAAGTGCTAGGATATCATGCTATTGCAAATGATTGCAAAATGACAATCTTGGAAAAGTTCATGTTTTCATAACACCTGATTAGAAGTTGGTTTTTGTGCATAATATTCTAGATTTAGTGGACCCCTTGCTCAGTGACATAACTATAAATCATGGTCTCTTTGATGTAATGGTTTCAATAGATTATAAACAAAACTCACATTATTGGTCTTGATTGGAAAAATTCTTTTTTAATTATTGGCAGGCTCTGCAGACTCTGGGTGTCTCCGATAGAGAGCGATTGGCCATATACACAATTGTTGCTGCTGTTCTCCACTTGGGAAATATCACATTTGAAGACAACCCTGAGGATTCCAGAGGTAACTTAAGTATAAGCATTCTCTTCTGAATCTCCCATACACTCTTCACCACCATCCAGAACAATATTGGTTGATTCAAAGGAAATGTCCTGTCATTTTTTCATACGATAAAATGTTGATAATTAAAAAGGCTATTGACATTTAAAGGCCTTAAGGTGTTGGAATGCAGGTTAGATTTTAGTCAGCACCCTTGTCTGGATGATAAAATGTCCTGTTACATAATTTGCAGGTGGATTATCTCATTGCAATTGCACTGATAGTCCATGCTTGGCTCTCATAAAACAATTGAATTTGGCAAGCATTAGGATTCATGGGAGAATAGTCTACAACTGAAATTGTGGATGACTATGGTGAATAGAGACCAAGATACTGGGGCTTCAAAGTTGCCACAGAGGCATAAAGTGACCAATAGTCCTCAGATACTACTTTTTTTTTCTCCTTGCCAAAAAGAAATGTATATTACCTGTAGAAATTCAATTTTTCATTCAGCCGAAAATAGTAGACTCTGACTGAATGATCACATTCCAAGGATTTTAACTAGGATCTTACATTGGTGGTATTGTCATTAGAATAGTGCTGTTGGGTGGAGTATACAGGGTGTAACATAACCTTTTTCTAGGGGAGTACATAAGCTCACATAGCATGTTGGCCTAATGTTTCATTGTCATATTTTAGCCTTTTTTTAAATTCTGATTTCATATTTGCATGGTAAAATGCCAATGCCTCATGTTGTTGGTGACAGCAAAGAACAGCATGTGGTTGACCACATTTGTGCAACTGCCTACTGCAAGGCAATGGAAGTGGGAGCAACAGTCCTCACCCCCTAGTGGATTGTACAGATCACTCCCACATCCATTGCCTCATGGTAGGCATTTGTGCAGATGCAGTCTACCACAAATTGTCCAAATTGTCATTTTGTTCACATTGTCATTTTGTTTGAAAGCTCTCTTTGTCTTCTTTGATTCAGTAAATAGCGCATTATGACTCTTGCTGGAGTCTCAACCAGATGATTAAGGAAAGATTGGTAGGTCCATCCTAGTCACTGCTTCTTGACTACCTATTTATCTTGTTTCTTGGAATGATATTGTAATGGTCCTAATGTATTGTAAATACAATGCTGTTTTAAATGCATTCACAAAGCATCAAGTTGGATACTATTGTGAGGTGTTGAGCAACATGCATGAGAAAGTATCCATCTTGATGTTTGGGGAATATTGGTTGATATGTTATTGGTATTCACCACTAATACTGATATGAACTGATAGCTCATTCAGGAAAAAATAAGTCAATTTGAAATCCCAAGTAAAATTGGGTCAATTACCATTTCCACTGAAACATGTTAAATAAATGGACTGGGAATGAGAGCATTCAATTTAGTCCTGAGCACTCAAATTACTTCATGTCATGGCTTGTTTTCTGGTCATTCGATATAATTTGAAGTTGAAAATCTTTCTGCTGTAGTGAGCCTAGCCTTTTACTCTTGGGAGAGGCCACAGGATTTTGCCCTCTTTGATCAACTGAGGATCAGTCTGAAAAAGACCTTTTTGCTATTGCTTCCAGTTGTCCTTCAGAATACTTGTTTGCTGAACCTATCCACTGATTTGTGGCTATTGCTTTATTTATGTGCTTGTTTGGGAGTATAGGAGGAGGGAGGATGTCAGAGAGTAGTGGAGCATCCCTGGCCACAGCAGCTCAGCTCATGGGGGTGGAGAAAGAGGATTTGCACCAGGCTCTCCTGTCCCGTGTCATGCAAACTGCCAAAGGAGGGTACAAGGGCACTGTCATTTTGTAAGGGAACTTTACATTTTCCCCCTCTTTTGCTTCAAGAGACATTTGGTTTTTATCCTTTTTTTTTTAAATGAAATTGTAATGTTCTCTTAAATTCAGGATTTTTGCTTTATTTAGCTGGAAATAGGGTAAGGTATCCAGGGCAAATCAGGAGCTTTGTCAGAGAAACTTCTCTATTTATGTAGGCCTAGTGCTGTTCTATCTTCCTAGCATGTCAGCCCCCATTCAGACCAAGAATTTAAATTTTTTTATGACTCCTTTTTAATTTTCATTTTGTCTGAGAAAGAAAAAAGAAATTTTGAGGCAATTACCCAATGGGTCTATAGTGCGTGGCTGGATATGATGTTGTTGCCATAAGATTTCATGTTCATACTCTCTGTAATGACCTATCAATTTTTGTGGATTTTCATGGAGGTGATGCCTCATGAATGTGTATCTCTTAAATCTAGCTACTGGAGTCTTAGTCACATTTTTATGATCTTTAATTATAGGTGAAGAGATGTGTCTCCTTTTTCCACTCATGACTCTCTTCCTCGAGGATTGTTTTGAGCAGAATTTATTTTCATAGATTGTATCACTTTTGAGGCTATTGCTCAGCATATGTATAAAGTTAGATCAGCCATGCCAGAGTGGAAGGGGAAAAAAGAATGGTCTGTTCTGAAAAGGCCGTAAATAGGCTGTTTTTACATGGATGAGTTATAGGTTTCTACTTCTTTGGTAATTAGAAGTCTTTAGAAGCATTAGTGTGAAACAAAGTCTATGGTAGACCAAGCTTATTTTCTTTTAAACTTCAGCAGGCCTGTTTGAAGTTGCCCTTAGAGAAATGGGACCCATTTACTTTTGTGCTCAGTCAAAATCAAACTGGCTGATTTGCAACCTGAAGGGTTGCATCTAAATAACCTAAGCTTTGTCAAGCTAATCAGGTGATGTCTATCATCTCAAGGGAAAGGTTAGGGGGAAGCAATTGCAGGTCAAGCAATAATCCTTCCCTGGGGGATTTGGGTAAGTGGAGGGGTGACTCAAAATAATGAAATCTAGCAACATATTGTGATTGATTTCTTACGTAACCTTAATAGTTTCTGAGCCCACCACTCTGCAGCCAAACTGGTGCCCTTTTGCACTCAATTGGGACTCATTACCACTAGCAGGACATGTCAAAACTGCAGTGGAGAGGCAAGACCATGTGGAGTGGATTGATTACAAGAGCTCATGTTCTGGTGCACCAACTGGGTTTGCCATCAGAATTCCTCCCTGAGGACCAGGAGTTTTTTTGCAGATGGGACTGTTGTATACTGATCTTGGAGCAGCTACTTTGATGGGTACTCAATTACTTCACAAGTGTCATGGTCCAAGAGGTTAGGGTTGCTGTAAGCACTGTGTCCAGTCTTCTTGGTCAGGGCACAATGTGGAAGTAGACAAATCTTGTTTCTGCAAGAGGAAATTTAACTGTGGACCACTTTAACACACTCAATTGGTGATGGAAGGATCAAGAGTGGAACCTGGTGCAGATTTCTGGTTCATGTGCAGAACTTGAACATGGAGACTCTTTGAGGCATCTTTCAGGCAAACGTTCTAGGGAGTGTTGTCAAGACTGACTCCTGGAGGGCATATGCTTGCCTTACACAAGATGGTTTTCAACATGACTTTGTGAACCACTGCACAGTGGTCCAGAGTGATTGAAAACCTGGCCAAAAATGTCTGACCCTCTTTGGTTGACCTAGGAAGGGGGGGGGGGGGGGACCTGACCCCCCCCTTCCTAGGACAACCACTTAGATTCAGCAACATCAGAAAAATATTACCTCATACTAATACTATTATGGAGTATCTGACGTTTTGAGGCATTTCCCCTTTCTTTTCTCTGAATCTTTGGAGCAATCACCATATATTTAAAATTCTTAGTTTCTGCCAAATGGTGTTTAGTTTCGTTGAAAAAGTCATGTCAAAAACAATAAAATGCCGAAATGATGGCCATCATTTGAGGCCACTGTGCTGCTTCAAGGGGATTACTCTCTTTGATAGTTGTCTAGTCAGGGTAGGAATTGGTATTACAACTCAAATTCTGCATCCAGCCATGGCTCACTTTTGATTCAGGAATATGTTTGGATTTTGGGCCACTTTTGCCATCTCTGTCTCATTTTCCTCCTCAATTCACCAATCGCTCGACACAATGCCTCTGCAAATCCATGGGGGGGGGGGGCAGGGTTGATTATGAAGATCTTTGGAGGAAATATGCTGATCAATACCTTCATATCTCCCATTTCTGAGAAAATGTCTTTTGGGATCTTGAGTCACAATTGGGTGGATATGTCCCTCTGAGTTAGGTTTCTAGGGCCTAGGGAGGGAGTAAAAAAACTGTCATTGTGAGTATACTTGCAGAATCTTGCAGCAAATTGGGGGTCACATGTCTATGTTAGTATTGTGGGAGTATGCATATGTGTTTTTAGTTACAGCCATCCACAGCTGTCTGTAAAGAAATCAAGGTTGAAAACTATCAGGTCAATTCATAAATAATTTCCGTTTGTTGCCAACTGTTTTGAAATGATTGTAACTTGTTTCAAGTTTGACGCGATAAATCGTGTTATATGTCATTCAATCGAGAAAACTGTAGACTTTTTGATAATATGCTATTTATTGAAGCAAGTTACAATCGTTTCAAAACAGTTGGCAACAAACGGAAGTTATTTATGAATTAACCTGATAAATAGGCTAAATTTACCATCCATCATGGAGATTTTCGTTCCTCGACTGTAATGTAAAGGATTGGAGGCACGAATGCTCACCTGCCTGGCCTTCAGACATTGATGTTCAATGTGAGATGATATTAAATTCACAACTATTAATAGCCTGTGAAAAAATCAGGGAAACGTTTTCAGTTCACTGAGTGCTAATGAACCTCCCCTCTTTTCTTTGTTTTAGAACGACCCTACTCCTAAGAGACGAGGGATGCAGTGTTGCTTTTTTGGTATTGCCATGCACTTTTGGACATCTCAGGATGAGACAGGTTGAATTTGTACGATTTTGAAGAAAAAAAATTTTTCTTTTTGGCCAGGTTTTCACTCACTCTGGACCACTGTGCACTGACATGACTTCCAGGAGCAAAGTGATCCCCTATCCAGAATACAGAATGTCAAGGCATACTGGTCAATCAAAAGGGACATGCCCTTACACATCGGCCACATGAGTTTCCAAACTAAATGCACTTGATCAAGTATGTCTGGCACTCACAATGGACCATAGTTGATGCAGCAGAATCTATGGATGGATTTCTGCACTGCTGGTTGCCACTTCTTTTCCCAGTGAAGCATCCTCTCCCAGCATATTTTAGAGTATCTTGAAATTGTAAAAATTCCATTATGACATCATGCATATGGTTTACTTTTGACAAAGGGAAGCCTTGTACTCCCACTGTCAATGCCAGTGCCACTTTTTCAGAGCGCATGTTTATATTAAATCACAGCTGGCATAAATTGTATCAGGAGGGATTGCAGCATCCCATGCATTTGAAGTTGGTGCATTTGCCTGGTGTTTGATATATTCAGAAAGGTGATGACACACAGGAGGTGAATATGATGGTCTTGTGTAATTTTATCAGCATACCAAACATATATTCTCACATGACTGATCAGTTTACAATCAAGTCAACCCTTTTGCCTTGGTGGGTCACCTTGATCAAGCTCAAAATGAGCCTGCTACATTTAGTGCCAAGCCTTATCTATGTGGTTCCTCCAGTTGCAAAACAGACATCAAACCAACCTAAAAAAAAAAGGTCATTTGAATGGTAGAAAAAGTTTCCCTTGAGCAATGAAAGATTTTCATTTAAGGTTCTTAAGGTTTTTGGATATCTTGATTTATAGTGAAATACCTTGCAGTGAATTAATGTTAAGAGTTACTGGACTTGATTTCATTGTAAATGTGAAAGTGCCCCTACTGCTTGATGTTTGAATCTTCATTTTCCTCTCCTCAGATGTGAGACATTAATGATTTTTTCCTTTTTTTTTTATTGATGCAGGGTCCCACTGAAACCAACTGAAGCTGTCAATGCACGAGATGCCCTGGCCAAGGCCATGTACAGCCGACTGTTTGACTACATAGTGACCCGTATCAACCAGGCCATTCCCTTCCAGAGCTCTTCCTATTACATTGGTGTCTTGGACATTGCTGGCTTTGGTCAGTCTCACACCTCTTCTAATGCATTCTGTCGAAGCTCATTGTCATGATCAAGTTGAGCTCTTTGAGTGATCAAATGCAGTCAGTCTTCAAAAAAATTTTTCATGAATTTCAGTTGGTAAGAGTTTTAGTCATTAGATCTACTGTCTGCATAGGGTTTGGCAAAAGTAGACAAAGAAGGGAGAACTTTGGTGAGGCTGCAAGGTAATTCAGCTGAAATATTCTCTCAGAGCCCAGTTCTGTTTTTTTCTCTGAAGGATATGGTGTAGTTCTATTATTACGTTGAGTTTTCTCTGTGCATATTGAGACACTCATATTGTTTCTACATGATGCTTCCCAGAGTACTTCCCTGTAAACAGCTTTGAGCAGTTCTGCATCAACTACTGCAATGAGAAGCTTCAGCAATTCTTCAACCAGCGGGTATTAAGGGATGAGCAGACCCTCTACCAAAAGGAAGGACTCAATGTCCCACACATAGACTATGTCGATAATCAGGACTGCATTGGTGAGCATTCTGGTGTGCTTTGTGAGAACCTCATTGTGGTGATTGATAGTCATCTCCTTTTTTAAGCCAGAATTCTATATGGAGAAGGAAAAGTAAGGAAAATTACATTTGCAGTTTTTTTTATTATTGAACCTTGACATCCCAGTTTCCATAAGAGCATCAGATACCACATGCTAGAGTTTGGTTTGGGGAATGTCATAGTGTATCCTCTCAGGCCTGGGATTGGAAGAGATGAGCAAAGAAAACAGTTGAATAGTTAAGTGACCCTCAAGTCAAAGGGAACAGCCTTGGTAATGGCCATGCAGGAGTAGGGTATCACTACAAAAAATTTATCTCCCATAGACTGGTAAGAGTAAAAATGTATCATTCCCTTCAAATGGATAGCATAAAAGATAATAGGGATTCCTCCTTCCCACCCCCTTACATCTCAGTGGTGATGTTTGCCTGTTTCTCCAACCCACTGAAAGTAATTATGATGCCCCCCCATCTGTCTCTACCTCTCCTTCAATTCAATGCAATTAATAAGGGACTGCAGAGATCCAACAACCCCAAGCTTGATTGAATACACTATAACATGCTTAGCAGAACTCAGACCTACTCCTTTCTTTGGGACTGATACTCCCCACAGACCTGATTGAGGCCAAGGGGTCAGGGATCATTGATCTTCTGAATGAGGAGGCAAAGTTACCCAAGTCAAGCTCGGCCCACTTCACTGCAGCTGTGCACAAGAACCATGGGGACCACTTCCGACTGGGCCTTCCACGTCGTAGCCGCCTCAAGCAACACCGTGAACTCCGTGACGATGAAGGCTTCCTTGTGCGTCACTTTGCTGGAGCTGTCTGCTACCAGACAGCCCTGTTCATTGAGAAGAACAATGATGCTTTCCACTCTTCCCTGGAGGCACTTGTGCAGGAATCCAAAAACCCTCTCCTCAAAAGCCTTTTTGCATCCTCTGATCCCAATGTCAACAAAGGTGAATTCAGCCACATTTTTATGTTACAGTGATTGACTCTTGTGCCTGTATGTAGGTCTGGTAGCATAGAGAGGCCTCCCATACCTTCAATGCATGTGAAGGTGTATGAAGGAGCTTGAGACTGAATAATGCTTCTTACCTATCCAGGTTTCAAATGCTCTGGTTTTTCTTGTTCAAGTATATCAAACCTGAAAATGAAGGTTTTTCATGGCTATGTCCTATTTGTGAAAGGCATGTTGTCCCATTCTTCACTTCCAGTCCTTTACCTCAACCCACTAAAAGGATATCCATCACTAAAATTAGTTTTTCAATAAAATTTCTATGGTCTAATTGCTCAAAAAGGGAAACAGTGTTTCAAACCAAGTCTGTTCCATGTTCAGGACCTTTTTACTTGAGATAACAAGATGAAGATAAGTGTTGCTACATCTGCAAACAATGCGTGATGGTGTATTGCTTTAACCCGTTGGTTCTTGGTGCATGATTAAGGAAATGAAAGTGTATGAGAGCAAGTTCTGGAGCCAAACCAAATTGCTTTCACTGTTTTAGAAGGAGAGTGGCAGAGAAGACCAAGCTACTTTCCTTTTATGCCTTTGATTCCTTTGGTGTACATTTTTCTTGCTTCATGTGCTTGCTTTGTCTGGAGGGCCTTGCTTGTAAGGTTGATGTTATGTAAGGTGATAGGGGATCACCTTGCATAAACTTATGGGAGTACCTTTTTCACAGGAAAAGGTTGACAGTGTTTTTGTTGCATAATAAGGGTTGACTATGTTTTGTGCAATGTTCTTAGCACAGCTTCCACTAGCAACTGAGAATCACTGTATTTAGAAAGCTGGAGCCTCTGTTGTATTTTTCTCATTTTGATAATAATGTGGCTCACCCTGGTTTGATAATTGGTCATCTACCCCCAAACATTTACCCCAGGAAAGCTGACATACATCTCTGTGGCATCCAAGTTCCGCTCCCAACTTCAGGAGCTGATGGGAAAGCTGGAAAGTACAGGAACAAGTTTCATCCGTTGCATCAAGCCTAACACCAAGATGGTGGATCATCTCTTTGATGGTGGGACAATCCTGTCCCAGCTCCAGTGTGCTGGGATGGCAAGTGTCCTTGAGCTGATGCAGCAGGGTTTCCCATCTCGTGCCCCATTCCATGACCTCTATAACATGTACCGAGGATTCCTACCCAAGGAGTTGGCACGACTTGACCCACGCCTCTTTTGCAAGGCTCTCTTCCATGCCCTTGGCCTCAATGATAATGACTTCAAGTTTGGACTTACCAAGGTCTGTCCTCCCATCATCCTGTTTAAATAAGTGAAATTCAAAGTGAGAATAATTTTGTTTCAATTTCTTGTTCATGAAATGATATGGTGGATCGTTTAATTAATACTGAGTGAGGTCAGTGGGTGATGGACTTAAATGACAAATATCATTCAAAATAAATTGCATACATTAGTATGCAAATGCTGAAACCATGTCTGTCTGGTCTCCATAGGTGTTCTTTCGACCAGGTAAGTTTGCTGAGTTTGACCAGATGATGAAGTCAGACCCAGAGAACCTTGCCATGCTGATCCGGCGAGTGAAGCACTGGCTCATCTGTTCCCGCTGGCGTAAGGCCCAGTGGTGCACTCTCTCTGTTATTAAACTTCACTATAAGATCCTCTGGAGACGAGACCAGCTGGTGAAGATACAGAAGACTATGCGCATGTACCTGGCTAAGAAGAGGCATCGCCATCGCTATCTGGGCATTATGAAGGTCAGCTACCTGATAACCTGTTTTACAGTTTAGTATGTAAAAAAAAAGATGCTTCAGTTATCTGTTTTGCTTGCTTGGGATACACTGATACAGGTATGACTAATACAATACTGATCCAGTTCTAATTCTTTGTTATTGGTCAAATCTATTCTATATCAATATCAATATCTCAATCTTCAATATCAATACCTTCATACATCAAGCAAATCTTGTTACATCAATTCTGTTACAATGGAAAATTTCAGTACAAAGAAAATATTTTTAACCCTTTGTCAGACCATGTCTTACAGTGGATCACAATCTCCATAGCATTACAAATAAAATGGATTGCAAAGGGTTAAGACCCAACTGATGGCCCTTAGTAATGTACTTTGTGCATCTCAGTTTTTCATTTCAGTGAAAGTTTTCATTGTTATAATATTTGATCAGTATTGTGGAAAGAATAAAAAAACATAAGCTTCCATGGTTATTTAGTGATAGAAATGAATATTTTCTTGGAAGACACTTCAGCTTCTAGAATCTGTATTCAGGAGCCTTACCTTTGTGTAGAAGACTAGAAACTGAATATTTTGTCTGAATGGTGCCTCCACATGGAGTAATGGACAGTGAGGACTAGGACTGCCTAATATTATGATACTTGGAAGCCACAGAATGAATTGATTAAGGATCCTCCAGGGCTGTGAGCAATGGTTCCCTCATGTGCCAAGTCCTGAGGTAATACTTGACACTCTTTAGGCATATTTTCAACCACAAGGACCTAGTCAGTTGTCACAGTTGGTCATAACTTCTAGTCGAGGATAAATGTGGACATCATCCATGCACAAAAACCTAAAGGCAGAGTCAGTTCCTGGCCCTTACTCAAATTTTCACACTGGTAGTTCTGATAAGAGTCTCTTCTGGATGAAAAGTGGGAGAAAGGCCACTCCTCCACTCCTCTGGAGGCTGGCCCAAAGTCTCTCCATGAAACACTAACTGGATTAGTAGATTGGCCATGGTGTGGTTTTTTATTAATACCAGTCTTCACCAATCCTCATGATGTTGTCTGATATCCCAGAGCTGGTAATGGTGCATCCCAACTTTCTATTGTTTTCTGATTTGCTTGTGGACTTGTTGCATAAAGCTTTTTATTAATTGGCCATTACTGTGTGCTCTGTTTCCTTGATACCTTGAATGCAGAGTTTTTTCAGCACATTCATTACATGAATAGATCATCACTTGGTGAAATGAAACAATGATTAATGCAAAAGGGTTAAATTTTGACTTTTCATTATGAAATAGTGACAATTATGGTGGTGGTATGCCTTTTCATATTTTGAGGCACAAAAATAAAATTTGAATGCATTGAATTCAGGAAGGTAATCTTGCTCTTCTCTTATAGGTGAAGGGCTTGAAAGGCCGGCTGAACCAGCTGAGTTCAATAGCATCACAGCTGAAAAGTGGGAAGGATCAGAGCCTGAAAAGTGTGCAAGGCCTGGAGTCCCGTATGGATGCTCTCATCCGGACCATCAAGGGTAATGAGCGATTCACCTGTGCTGAGGTGGAACGTGAGCATCTACTCCTTGTCTCAGCTGTTGATTCTGAGCTGGGCACCCTGAAGAAGCGTCTCGAGGAACAGCGGAATGCTGAGGAGCAGGAGAGGCTCAGGCACATCCAGGCTGAGATGGAACGGGAGCGGCTTCAGCGGGAAGAGGAGAAGCGAAGGCAAAAAGAAGAGGAGGAAAATCGCAAAAAGTATTTTCCCCTTTCACACCTCACAAATATGCAGATAGACAAAATACAGGGTGGCCTGTATCAATGTATTCAGTGATGAGATATGTGTCAGAATTTACTGCATGTAGATAGCTATAAACACTTTTACTAATCATGGTTTCTATTGCAGGTTGTACATATCCCTTCCCGTTTTTTTTATCTAGTTTTTTTTTTTAATACCACCCTATACTCTCTCTGTACAACTCATATATCAATAAATAGTGGATACCTTCATGTGAGCCTCCCTGTAGAAGTGTTTGTCAAGTGGAAGATAGCATAGAACTTAGAGCTGCTATAATGAATATTTTAAACCCTTTTAAGTACTAGGTTTAGTAGAGGCATGCAGCATGCTCAGACTGAGGTTTTTTAGCAGTTCACTTACCATGTATTGACAGGCTTCATTTACACAGTTATTTCTGCTGAAAAATGCTTGGAACCACTTGCAACAAGTCCCAAGATGATCCAAGAGATGACAGAAGCATACAGTACAAGAAACACTACCATTGCATTTTGTGACAGTAGTATTCATGCACTAAATTTATAATTGCATATCTGGAACAGTAGGCTAGAGGGACAATACTATAGCTGTCATGGATACATGACTGTAGTACTTAAAGAGTTAAAGCATCAATGCATCAGCCTGAACTATCAATAATGAATTGGTGTATTAGTAATACATAGGATCATTGATAAACAGTGAGTGATAGGAAGAAGGAAGAATGAAAATTAATTTGAACAAGAATTTCAGACCTAGTTTTAGAACCCTGTGCAATTCTGTAATTCTGCAATTTCTTTTGCCCCATGCAGAGAGGGACTGGGAGGGACAAAAAAAAAAAACAGATTTTTACCACCACCTCTGGAGTAGCTTCCATTGTCCCTTTGTTTTGCCTTATTGTCTCCTTGTCTTCTCTCTCATTTTCTGGGATCTATGAGATCTCATCCACTAATTCACCTTGGAATTTCATTTCTAGCAATGTAATTTCAAGTTAACTAATGCATTTTGATGCCTGATAAACCTCATGGTGACATCATCACCATGGGTGATGACATCCATGCACCACTGCATTATGACAGTCTCACTGAGAACTAACTTGCACTTCTGTTGCATCGAGCCTTTTAAAATTAAAAAAGGATAACCCTTGCCTTTTTTATTTTGCAATGTAGAATGAATCCCATGAGGACATCAGCAAAAAACTTAAAATGCAATCCCAATCATTGTGGTTTTCCAGAAGGGGTTGATGTCCTGCAGTATTCATCCTAACATGAATTTTATTCTCAATCTTTACTTTGTGCTGTACCTGAAGGCTGCATTTTGATGTGAAAAACTCCTGAGCATTTCACTATTGTTTAGTTATGTACAGTAGTTCTTTCTATGTTTTTCAATCCTAATTTGTCATGATAATGTGTAAAGTCATTTCAAGTGCATTTGACATCCATTATGCACCTCTTGCAGTTATCAACTTACTTTCATACATTTGTCTGCCTCAGACGTGCTGAAATGGAGCTAAGACGGAAGGCTGAGGAAGATATGAGACGCAAGCAAGAGGAAGTTGATCGTAAAGCTGCTGAGAAGCTCCAGGTTACACACCCACTCTGTCATATCCACCGTTGAGTTCTGCAATGGTTGTATCACAGAATGGACTTTGCAGGTGGAACTGGAGGCAGAGATGAAGGCAGATGTTCAGGCCCAGCAACATTTTGAGCAGGAGATGCGGGACCATGAGCTTGCCCTTCGGCTTGCCAGTGAAATGGGTTCTCAGGTGGAGGACTCCAACCTTCATCTTAAGCGGTTTGTCTCCTCATGATTTGTGACTGGAGAAAGTCAAAGGGTTTTCCTGTTCAACACCACTCCTTCTGATGGATTGTGAGTAGGTCAGATCTGGTGAGGAGCCAGAGGGAGAGGGCAGCCAACAAGAAGTATGACCTCTCAAAATGGAAGTACAGTGAGCTCCGGGACACCATCAATACCTCCTGTGATCTGGAGCTTCTAGAGGTCTCTCTCTGTTTCTTTGTCTGTAGAAATACTATGAAATGAGGGGAATCCTGCATGGGGGTGGTTTTCTCATTTTCAACTGGAACACTCTATGAACATTTTGCCTCCTTCATTATACAGATAACAGTCAAGTGACTTGTGACATGTAATATATATCCAGAAACCTTCTGTGTGTGGTAGGCATGTCGGGAGGAATTCCATCGTCGCCTCAAGGTCTATCATGCATGGAAGAGCAAGAACAAGAAGAGAAGCATTATGGATGAAAACCAGAGGGCTCCTCAGTCTGTCCTTGATGCTGGTCTGTTTCAAACATTCTAAACAGGACAGGTTGGGAAAGAAGCTAGCTCATCTACAGGGTGGCCCAGGAAAACAATACTGAAATGTTTGGAATGTAATTGGTAATTTATTCTCATGATATCCAGTGAATAAGATGCCACTGTACACTTTGAAGGAAAGAATCTGATGATGGAACACTACTTCCAAAGTCATGGACCAGGACATTCATGTCTTCATAATTTTTAAAAAGCCAAACATGCAAATAAGTTACCATATCACATTCCTAGCTTTTCACAATTGTTTTTTCTAGGCCATCCTGTATATTGACATTAGGCATTCTATAATCAGAGCTAATCACAAGACTATGAGATTGTGTAGGATTTTATGCTTTGGTGTATATTGTCTCTGATTACAAAGTTAGCTTTGGCCAGATACCTCAGGTACTGGTATTGGTGAATGTAGATATTGGCCTCACCACTGATGACAAAACATCTGCCTAGCAATGGTTTTTTTTCATATTAATTTATTATTCATTTATGATCCTGTTTTGAAGAAGACTTGTTTCTTCTGCAATCACAAGTTTTCATCAGTATTCAGATGAAAGCATTGTTTATAGTAGTATTATTGGTTCAGACTTTTCCCTATCTTTTGCATGCCTCACAAATTTGACAAGCATGAATATAACTCTCATACAGTGTTTTTCACTTGAGTTAGACATTTTTTCACTTGACTTCGACAACGGTGCATGGTGAGGGTGATATAGCGGATCGACGCAGAAACTAGGAGTTCCATTCTTAAGTGCAGATGTCGTGATGANATCTATGGTATCTCTTATTTGTTCTCTTAGTGTTTTACTAACATTATAGGCATTGGAATGTTTTGAAATGTGGGGTGGGAGTGATGGACTCACCACTGAACGTAGATATCCATATCTTTGAGTATGGTCTTTCTGTCTGATCTAACCAATGACTGATTTTTCATGCTAGTGAACCATGTACAGTAATTGAGCTGCAGTGGCTCCCTATTTTTCAGGGACTTTAATTTATTGTTGTCATCAAAGCAATTTTCTCATGTTGTCATGCATATAGGTCGTGATGATATGCAGATGTGTGAGCTGAACCTGGAGGAGACTGGGCTGACTCGGAAACGAGGGGCTGAGATTCTTGAGCAGGAATTTGAGCGGGAGTGGAAGAAGCATGGTGGATCATCCTATGTCCCCAGCCCTACCCAGCGCCCTGCCCGGCGCTGACTCCTACTTCTGGCTCAGTGTGATATTCACAGTCCCATCATTTAGCATCATTTCCCCATCCTTTTTGGGTGTATGAACTTGTGGACATTCTGCAGGCCTTCCTACTTGAACTCATATCTATTTTCCCAGCTGCCTTGTCCTAGTGTCCATGTATAAGCATTTAGTTTTTCTGGTCTTGCACCATTGACTGGGCAGCATCTCATTTCTGTGAACAGTTTTTGCCACTTCTGCTCATTTTCATGGGAATATGGTTTCATCTTGTTCTGATTATTGTGTTCATGCTTGCAGTTATATATTATTATTATTGTGAATAAATTAATCTATTGATTAAATGATTAATAAGTGCTTTTAGAGTTTCAGTGAGCCTGCATATGGCTGTTGCAGTTAAATGGTTTATCATTTCTCTGTTAATTGACGTAGGAGTACATTCCATATTAGTTATGCATTAACCCTTAGAATCCCAAGGCGCCAAATATCAGCTCTTCATATCATATGCTAAAATTTCCTGAGGTGCCAATCTCGGCACTGGTTTTGTGTGCCATTAGTTAAATAGGATTTGTAATGATTTTCTAAATAATACTTTGCAATTTAGTATAAAACTAGCTTGGGAATTTATCCATATACTGCCTACTTAGGCTTGGGAGTGAAAGAGTTAGGGTGGATTTTTGAACAGAGCATTATCCGATAATGCAGCTTTATTTAGGAGAAAATGCATTATAAATCCGGTAAATAAAGCTGCATTATCGGATAATGCTCTGTTCAAAAATCCACCCTTAAGGTTGAAACCTTAACAATTCCTCCTTCATTATTTATAAATTCCTGTGGGGGTGCTTCCTATTGGCCTCAGGAGGTTTATGTAAATATTAATGGGGGTATGAGGCATTCAAAGTTAGAGAGGTCATTTTATGAAATTCAGTTGTACCACCACTGAATCTGCTTGAAAAAAATTGGTGGCCTCTCCAAGTATAAATTCCAAATTTCATCATTCTACAGGGTGTCCATAAAACAAAACAAAACTGCAAAAATATTTAGCTTTAAGAGGGTTAGGCCTACCCTAAAATTAAGGAACGCTCGACCTCGACACGTAATATCGAAATGGGTGAAATCGCCTCTTGATATCACTATCTTGAATCAGACAACAGGAAATTGAAATTGAGAAGCCTAATTTCACATTTTTTAAATTTCACTTCAACGTATGATATCTCCTGCTTTAGTAAATTTGCATTTATATGAGGGACGTTCAGAAAGTTTTGGGAATTTCGGCAGTGTACAAAAGGAAATCGTGCTCAACATATTCTGATAAGAGGTTTTGAATAAAGGCTTTCCTTGTTTATTGAATTCAGTATTGTTGCCCGAATAATCTTCCGAGTAGAGTTATTCATCTCAGTTCAGGTGTATTTTTCGAAGCCATGGAAGACGCAGTGAAAACTCTTGAGAGCTATTATTTTCTTTTTGTGGAGAGAAGGTGCACGCGGTTCTGAGATTGTTCAGAGGCTGTAGGCTGTCTTTGGAGAATCTGCAGAATAGAAGAGTACCGTTCACCTATGGCTGGAACGGTTTTAGACAGACCTTAGCCAGACCTTAGAAGACGAGCCTCGCAGCGGTCGCCCTCGAACGGCTACCACTGATGAAAAAATTCACGCTGCGCAAAATATTCTAATGAAAGATCGACGAGTTACCGTTCAGGAGCTTGCTACTACCCTGGGAGTCAGCACCGGCAAGGCTCATGAGATACTCCATGAACATCTCGGTAAGATCAAGGTTTCTGCCAGATCGGTGCCTCGCTTGTTGGGGCCTGAACAAATTCTTTGATCGAATGGAAACGTGTCGAGAGCTGCTTCAACTTAGCTAAGAATACGAGGTGAGTTTTTTCGACCGTATTATCACTGTAGATGAGACATGGCTTCCCTACTTCAATCCCGAGACCAAACCACAATCTAAGGAGGCGGATCTGAAGGACCTTCCTTGAAGGCTCGAACTGTTCCATCTTTGGGGAAGGTTATGATTATGGTTTTCTGGGATTGCAAGGGATAATAATGATCGGCTAACAACCAAAAGGTATCACAATGAATGCAGAATACTATTATAATCTGCCTTTGGGCCCTCTCCGACAGGCTCTTGTTGAAAAACGGCCTGGGAAATTGCATTCACGGCCACTTCTTCAGCAGGACAATGCATGGCCCCACACCGCGCTATTAAGTAGAGCAGCTATAGCAGAATTGAAGTGGGAATTGCTCCCGCATCCGCCCTACTCGCCAGATCTGGCTCCCAGTGATTACCACCTCTTTGGCGAGATGAAGCCTCTGCGAGGAGTGTGTTTTGATTCCCTCAATGCAATGAAAGCTGCACCCAACAGGTGGATCAGAAACACTCCAGAAATTTTTTTATGATTGTCTAAGGAAACTGATTCCACGCTGGAAGAAGTGCGTCGAACTCAGGAGGGACTATGTTGAAAATTAACAGTATAATGGTGATGAATAAAGAAGTTACCTAGAAATTATAAAGAAATTCCCAGAACTTTCTGAATGCCCCTCATATTAACTCTTATGAAGTTAGGTGTCATGATAGCATACCCTCACAAACGAGACCGAATTGCGATCAGCCCATTCCAATGCATCTGCAGTGTACTTAAGAATTCTGACTTGGGTACATCAGTAAAAAAATTTTAAAAATCGAGACATCGAACAGGATTGATGGGAAATTTGAGGGGGGAGATTGCTGCATGGGCAAAAGCATGATGAAACGATTCCGTTTTCCCCTTCCCGAAACTTTCTCGCGGGCAGCATAGAAACACTCCGTCAGCCACACTTTCCCTGCCCATAATAGCCAAGTCGATCAATTCATTGCAAGAAGCACGGAGATAAAAATTTATTACCCCATGATCGTACCTGAGTATATTCTTTATTTTCCCGAAAAAGATTTAGGTAAGCACTTCACGTCGGAAATTTTCATTTAGATAGGGTAACTTGGGGGAATATGGCCATTGGGATAATATGGCCCTTCACAAGGAATCCCCTTATAGACTGAATAATTAGTTTGGGCG